GTCCCTGCCTTTGCCTTCTGCGGCTTGGGCGGTGTGGCTCGAGTACTTGCCAGTGAAGACTGAGGCAAAAAAGTCATTGAGTACCTCCGCCTTCCCCGTGTCCCAGGTAACCAGGTCATCAACCCAGCGTCTGTGCCCTGACTCACACTTGCAGTGTTCAAAGCCACCACCTGACGTGCAGGGGTGTCAGCCTGCTCTCTGCCTACATAAAAAGAAAGAAGTGCGCCGTGAGCTGTATTTACAGATCAAACGCATTCCCTGAAGTACGATAAGAAGTGCTTGTGAATGTTTTGCTTCATTCCCATATCCTGCACATCAAATGAGCTCCTACGCTCCCACGCAGATCTCTGGCACCCTTGCAGGAGGTGGAAGCTGCTATGGAGATGTCAGCGCCCTGCTGCTGTTTCAGGAATAAGGGAGCCTTGCAAAGTGGCTCAGCCCCAGCAGGCACTGCAGGGTTTGGTGCAGGAGGAGGAACACAGCACAGGCTTTTTCATACAGGGAAACCAGGGACCTCTTCTTGAAAAAGCAAATCAAATATGCCCCAACAAAAACAGAAGTAGGGAAATGCACTCGTTTCGCCACAGTGTTTTACATTTGCTGTGATCTTTTCTTGTTCTTCTCCGCCCGTGATCCCCCCATTCAACCTCTGCCATTTCCAGCAGTCTTCTTTGCCTGCCAAGCGCCACGGCCCCGCCGCACCGGCTCACCGCTGGCGGGCTCCGCTCCCCTCCTGCGACCAGCGCACGGGGGCCAGTGGAGAGGCAGCACAGGGACATTGGAGCTTTGTCCCTTCCAGCCGAGAGGAGAGACACTCCTTTCCTTGGCAGGCTGTTTGCTTCAGATCCCTCTGCTCCCAGGAGGGGCATTTATAAGGCAATGTTTTCCCCTGCCTTATTCAGATGTGTCTGGAAATTCAGCACCTCTATTGCCATTAGGATTTGGAGGCTGACTCATTTCCAATGAGTTTCACCTACAGACTTTCCATAAAGGAAATCAGATTTTGAAGGGCAAGCTGCAGTCTGCTTTAAATTGCTTTAAATAACACAACCAAAAGAACAGGCTTTACTTCCTTCCCCTTTCAGCGATGGCTGAGAGACCTGACATCAGCAATGTCACATTTGCAGCTGCTCCCCAACAACAGCCTGACAAAAGTGCTTTTTTTTTCGTTGTTGTTCTTTTTTCCTATGTTCAGCCCCCAGGAGCAGCCTGGCTAATGCCCTGTGCCCCCCGCCATGGGCAGCCCCATCCCCTCAGCCCAGGCAGGCACCCCCAGGGTTTTGTCCCATGGGCCAGGGTCAGACGCTTGGGGGCTGGAGGATCTCCTGCCATTCCCCCCACCCACTGCCACCACCGCAGCACCCAGGGCCCCGCACCGGCCATTCAACAGCACCAGCTAAGCCAAGAGCAGGATTAATTTTGAAAGTGCTGGGTTTAGGGCATTTAGGCCATTTATTTTCGCTCCCTGGGTGCAGCTGGCAGCTGTGTAACCCGCACAGTTGCACCAGGCTGGCAGGGACGTAACATGGCTTCAGGACTGCTAATCCTGAAACAGATGTGCGGGGAGTAGTACAACATATGTGCCACAGGCTTCCCTTCCGTGAAGGCAGAGACTGGCGATTATTTGCCGTACAATGACACATCCAGCAATTCATTTTTCCTGGCAGTTTGCAGCCTGGTCCCTTTTTCAGGGCAGCGCAGGACAGCTTTGTTTTTGTAACATGTTCTCTGCCGAGCAAAGGCAGCTTTAGGAGCAGCACCCGCCTGGATCGGGAGATACACCAACGCTCCGGGCCACGCTGTTCCCAATCTACCTGCGGCACTGGGAAGCGAGACTTGCTGGGAGGCCAGCACTGTGCCACCATCCTCCCCAGCGCCTGGCAGCACGGAGCAGGGCTGGAGCCGTGGAAAACCTCCGCAAATTATCCACTGAATTAGGAATGTGAAACTCTACCCGTGAAAGTTCAACTTTGTAAAATATGCTATGGAATATCTGACTGGCATCTGAGGAACCCGGCTCCTGATGCTGTTTAAAAACCATCAGAGCAGGCAAATTCCTAGAGAAGGAGAGACTTTCTCAGTTACTGAAAGTTTGCATCAAAAAGAAGAAAACTTACCAATATTAATCTCATCATCCGTTAGTGTGTCACCAATAAAGTCGAACTGAAAGGACTGCAAAGTCTGGGAGAATTTCTGTACTGCCGATGAGTAACCTGGAAAAGGACAGAGCAATAAGGCTGTGTATTTTTGCAATTGTTGTACAGAAGCGGCAAGTCTTAGAAATTTAGCCTGAATGGAACAAAACTATAGTGAGGTGGTTAGAAAAATCCATAGGCATCATGAATTTAAGCACTTCAGAAAACGTTCCAATGTTAGTAACCATTAGAGGCTGCAGAGAGCATTTGTTTTGTCTTGTTTTCTTCTTCTTTCTCACTGTTGTTGAAAATGCTTCTGCAACACTAATGGATGCACCGAATCGTACAAACAGCTGATCGATAGCCTCATGTCCTGCTACGTACAGGAAGGGACACAGACACATTTCCCCTGCAGGAAAACATGCAGCTTCAAATGCAGCATTCACCACCGGCACAGGAACGTTTTCAGAGAAGTAGATATCCCCAGTGCCATGCGTGCATCAGCACAGCGCCTCGGAGCATGGAGGCTGTCAGACAGGCTTCTCACTGTTCAAAGTAATTTTTTCATTATATGGGAGAAAAATCTGTAGAGTCAGAAAACAAACGTGGGGAAAAAGATAGGACTCAAAATAACTGCCCTTCTTTAGGGGGTCACAGACACAAACAGGCCCTAAGAGAAGTATGACAGTGCTGCAGCTGAGTGCAGTGAGCTGGAGGGCTCAAGCTGTGCTTGTCGGAGCGTCTGCAGATGGCCCTGGGACCTGCTCCTGGCCTGCTGCTGAAGAAACGTTCAGTCTTGAAGCAAAGACACTTCCTGATGGTGGTTGGTAGCTCAGCCCAAATTATTTTTGGACTTTCCAGAGAAGTTTCTAGCCAAAAGGATCCTTTGTGTCTTTGCATCCTGTGCGGCTGCTTCGCAGCGTCGTCAGTGGCTCCGCTGTTGTGAAGGCGTCTGCTGACATTGGCAGAGGAGCTGCAGCAGGGACGGGGCAGCGACAGCGCAGCAGACCCCAGCACCAAAATCACCCGCCTCACGACAGCGGTGACAGCCACAGGTAACACTTCACCGCAGATCCTTCTCCCGCCAGCAGAGCACAAGCGGGACACGTGATGGATTTGACAGCCTTGCATCAACCACATCTTCCTGCACAAAGTTACACGCTTTTTTGGGGAGGTTAGTCTTTCTCCAACCGCAAATACCCGAGATACAAACAGGAGGAGGCTGAACTTCCCTGACCTCAGGGAATAGGATGTAGACAATAAAACAAAAACAAAGGAATAATTTTATACTTTGATTTATGTTGCTATTTTCCCTAATTTTGGACTCCAGCTATAGGCACAGTCCCAGGCTGGATTCCTCTGGGGGGGTGGGGTGCACAGGAGATGGTGCTTTCTGAAATTCAGGAAGCTGCAAGTGTGGAAGATGTGACGGCACAGACGTTAACGTGCAACCAGCACACACAAACCCTGCTTTGCCAAACCGGGGGAAAGACTGCTGTAGCAGAGCAACGCTGTGTACATGGGTGGTTTTTTTAATTTGTCTGTTTGTTTAAAAAAATAAGACAAGCACAATCACTTTTGGCATCAGTTGCTAAAATCTGGGGGGAAATAACCGCCAAAAATGAGGTGTGAATTAGTGAGGAATTGTGTCTGTACAGTATAGGCTACTCCCTGCATTTCCAGCCTTAGGAAAATGGTGATCTGGGTGTATTTTTGTTTGTTCTTTTCCATTGCAGACTCAGTGACAAAGGAACTTATCACCACGGTGGCAAACATAGGGTTTTCTGAAACACTGCTACAAAGGGGAGAGAAAAATCAGACAACACTAAATTGGATGTTGGGAAAAGGAATCAAATGGCCCGCGTGGGATCCTGGCAGGTCCCCAGACTGCTCTGCTTCCCCTGTCCCTAGGCTGGGAGCACCCCGGGGCCCCCGGCCCTCCCCAAGGCCCCCGAGCGACCGCAGCTCGCAGGGACACCCAGGTCCCCGGCGCGGGGAGGAACCGAGCC